AGAGTCTCCAGACTGATTAGCGAGTGAAACCTTGAAAGCTCGCGAGATCAGGATGGTCTCACCAGGCTATTTAACCCCTCCCCTTGGGGAGCTTTGACTAGTTCAAAGTAACTGAAATATCTTGAATATAATTCCAGATGTGACACTTTAAATGACAAATCAGATGACGTCATTTGACAGAACTCATAATGCATTTGATTGAAGATTTCTTGAATTGTTATTTTTCCCTAGAAATAATATAAAACATCATTAAGGGCAGTCAAAATTTAGTGAATAATGTTTGTCTATTCTATTAAAATGTCTGTATCTCTATAAATATATTATGTGTCGTCTTCTCAATTGAGAGAGCCCCATGCCTGTCTTTGCCTAGGGCCCCAAATTTCCTAAATCCGCCCCTGCTTCCATTCTCTCCTCCAGGTTTCATCTGTTGTGCCAGAATGACCTTCTCTGAGCACATTGCAATCATTCTAGTCACTAAATAGTAAAATCCATTTACTCCATTTGCTTCGTTTTTCATGTCAGTGGGGTTTCAGATTCACGCAGCTGAAGCTCCTCCTATTGGATGATGCGTTCCAGGATGGAAACACTGCATCTGAAATGCAGAGCGGGGAACTACCGGTCGCTAACCGTCCCGTACGGGAAGCACGACCCGTACCATCAGCTCTTCTGTGCAACTAGAAACACATCCAGGTCCCCCTTGATTTTCATTTATAAAAAAAGACTTAAATTATGTTTTTCCCTCCTTAAAATGCAGATAAAGATGATTTAATCAGATTTAATGCTCTGAGCGTGACCCATGATGACGTCAGAAAAGCTGTTTAACGGAGAAAATGAAAAAAGCAAAATTGTCTCGTAAAATTCATTGAAAAATTTAAAAGATGTGTATTAGCATTCTTTAGTGATTCAAGGGTGTAAATAAGTACTTTTAGTACCATAATTACATTATTTATGGATGAATATCTGCTTGCAGACGCGTGAACGAGCTGATTGTGCGGATCGAGATTGGAAAGTCCCCGCTGACTTTCACCATTAAACTAGTTTAAAAAGAATGCAACTCATAACTCAAACTGAGAAAGAGAAATAAAAACAGTTCCAATATTTTAAAAATGGAAACAAATTTTGAAAAAAATAAAAACTGAAAATATTAAATTTATACAAATAATTTGAATTTTTGAAAAATTAACATCTCAAAAAAAAAAATTTTTTTTTT